CCTTTGAATAATTGGGCCATACATTGTTGAAAGACTTTTCTTTTAGTAGTAAGGAGAGCTGGAAGAAGCCAATTCTGTTGTCTAACTTTCAGTTTTCAATAGATTTTTAAAGTACCTTAAATCAAATTAATTGATATTCTTATTTTTCCCAGAAGATAATAACTTTAGGATAATTGAAAAATGCAACTTTTAATGTAGCACTATTCATCTCCAAAACCATTATGATTTACTGATTCTTTTTCTATACAAATGCAATAGGATAAGTAAGTGTGATTCTGTTGTTCCTTTTGAATAAGCCATAATTAAAAATCTATTGAAAATACTGATTTAACATTTTTAAATGTTTAAAAATACTGATGTTTAAGAGAATTTAGATAAAATGGGGATCTCCAGTTCCTTTATCCATCCAGTCATTGTTCCAAAGGAGCTTCTTGGATGTGAAGCAAAATGTCTTAAAAGGAAAAGCAGAAAGACCAGTTGCCTCTTGGGAAAAAAAAGCACTTTTGGGACAACAATGACCTGGATGACTGAGAATCCCCTTAGACATCCAATCTTTAGCAATTGCGCATCAAATGTATTTATTGATAACAGGTATTTTTAAACACAAAATATGCATTTTTTGTGTAATGGCATTAAGAGTTCACTTCTAATAATTCATGTCTCTGAACCTGAAATTACACTGATTGAAATAAATATATCAATAAATGTATTTTTCTTACTTGCTTTTTTCCTTTTTTTTAACAGATGAATTACAAATGAAACTTTTGCTCAGCTTTTCCAGATTTCTGCAGCAAGATGTTTACTGCAAATACCACAAACTGGGTTACTTTTGAAGATGAATCCCAGTCTCCTCAGAGAGCAAGAGAAAATGATAATATTTGCGGAGCAAATGGGCTTAAACTTGCACTGCCTAAAATGCAAGATTTTTCAAACCAATTGTCCTCCATCACCTGTAATTCTCTCTCATCTCCTATAAGTGACTACTACTACAGCCCTGATCCTCCCAGTAATTCTCCACTCTGTACACCCACCAGAGACTATCCTATCAGTCCCTGCTTTCCCAAACCAGGAACTCATTTTCTTAGTCCTATTCCAGAATTGTCATCCAATGTTGATCATCTCCCACTGATTGAACCACCTTCTCAAAAGTTGATTGGAATATCTCAGCCTGTGCACAGTTCAGAATTTTCTACTCTGAAACCAATATATGGTGCACAAATTATGCATCCGGAACACTCAAAGAAATTGGAAAATTCCTTAGGCTCACAAGCCTTTTTTCAGAATGTTTCAAGTGAGTCTGCTTTCTCCAATCCATTTTGGTCAGAAGATTCATCTACTGTGTCTTTGTCCAGCTTACGTGGACATGGAAAAGAGTCAGATTTTGAAAGAGATTTTTCTTTTAAAGGGAAGAAAAGCTGGCCAGATCAGAAAAGCTTAAACCAGGGTTCATTCAATTATATATGTGAGAGGCTTGAACACTTGAAAACAGAAACTTCAAACACTGAAAGAGCTTTGAGACCAGTTCCATGTATGTGCACTACAGATGGCCTTTCTTCATTTATTCCAAGCAGTCTCTTTAGCAGCCAGAGAAAAGATGGCTGGCCTTTCATGCTGAGGATTCCTGAAAAGAAAAATATGATGTCATCAAGGCAGTGGGGTCCTATTTACCTTAGAGTTTTACCAGGAGGAATCCTAGAAATGTATTATGAAAAAGGTCTTGAAAAGCCTTTCAAAATATTCCATCTGCAACCATTTTGCAGGCTTTCAGAACCAAAGTTAGAGAACTGCAACATCTCTGGGAAAATCCATACGGTGAAAATTGAATATGTGACATATACAGAGAAAAAGAAGTACCCTAAAACTGAAGTGGTTCATGAAGCAGAAATCGAACAGATGCTGAAATTAGGAACAACTGATTACGGTGACTTCACTGACTTCCTAATGATAGTTGAGGAAGAGTTAATGAAGCTTCCTGATATTTCAAAACCAAAGAGACATTATGAAGAACAAGAAATGATCTTGGAAATAGTGGATAATTTTTGGGGGACAATTAGTAAAGCAGAAGACAGGTTAACTGAAACAGCTGTCATAACTCATATTTATTCATTAAACTTTTTGAATGGTAATTCTGAGTGCTTTGTGACACTAAATGACTTGGAGCTTCAAAAGAGGGATGAACATTATTTTGAGTCAGACAATAAGAAAAAATGGATCAAAATTAACGATTATCACTTTCATCAATGTGTGAAGAAACAAGAATTTGAGCAATCAAGAATAATTAAATTTACACCATCAGATGGCTGTAGAGTAGAACTAATGCGTTATAGGACACAATATAATGGATCGGATCTTCCATTTTCCGTGAAAGCCTTGTTAGTCGTTCAAGGAGCTTATGTTGAACTGCAAGCTTTCATAAACATGTCTTCAGCATATTCATATCCTACAAAACACTGTGAGAATGTAATGGTTCACTTTCCTGTTCCCTTGCAATGGAACAAAACTCTTTGCACTATGAACCTCCAAAGACAGAGATCCCTGAAAGCAAAAATGAACAGAAGAACTTGCCTTGGCTCTTTAAATGAACTTGAATCTGACTCCATTATTCATGTCTCAGTTGGAACAGCCAAGTATGAAAGTGCCTATAGAGCTATTGTGTGGAAAATTGACAGACTACCAGATAAAAACTCAAGTAAATGATTTTTATAAAATTAATTTATATAAATGCTGAAAGAGAATTGAATTGAATTATTTCAGTAATTTATTAATATGACAGAAATAAGATATTAGTGGCAGAATGAATGGTCAAGTAAATAAAAGAGATGATATAAGACCATGCCTATTTCATTCTGGTTAGCATTTTTCCATTACTATCAGTGAGTATGACAATATATAGCAGGTACCATTTTAGTGTAAATAGGGCTATGTTTTGAATGTACTGTATATAATTGTTTCTGCTTGTTTAATCTCAAGTTCTGAATTATTCTATTCACTTATGCAAAATGTAAAGTTTGCCAAATCACAACCTTGTATATTTTATAAAAGCTATGTTGATTGACAAACTTGTTTTATACATTTCTTCTTAAAGATCTCTAGAGTTACATTAGAATGTGCCTTTGGGGAAATCTTTTATTGTATTTATATTTTAAGAGTTGGATCCAAGAACACTTCTCCCCATAGTGGTTACAAGTATATATTTAAAATACAGTGGCTAAATATGCATTAGCCTTGAAAAACAAAAATATGGATAGAATAGAATAACAGGTTCCTCTAGAAATAGCTATATAAATTTGAAATCTTATCAGACGATAACTGCATTTACTATAGGTCTTCAAATATATGCAAAAGAATGAATACTTTTAGGTTTAACTTAATGTAAGATGGAAATAGGTAATTCTGTATCTTGAAATGGAAATGCAGCAAAGATATTTTCCAGCTGATATTTTAAACTATTTTTGAACAGAGAATATATTGAATATACTGTATTGCCAGAATTAATACTTCACTATCAAATATTTGGTATGCTGGGCTCTTCTTTTATGATTGCCCAACAAACCTGAATTCTATCTGCTAGTGTTATATTATGTTTTGGTTAAAAAATGGTACAGATCAAATTTTAAGACTGGAGCTAATATTCCAGAGGACTCCCATTTCATCACCCTTTATTATTGTTGTTTCCTGCCAAACTACTTAACTATCCCATAGAATTGCATTACCCAGTCCTTCCAAAAACTTCAATGGCTTGAAGGTTCTTTCAGCCAGCTGTTTTTATAGAGCGTTGCTATAATATTTTCCCCTCTTTCTTTCCAAGATCCAGATCATCTGCACAGTTTGTCTTTCAAACTAGAACTTGGCTCAGATCAAGAAATCCCTTCTGATTGGTGCCCTTTTGCTGTGGTGCAGTTCATTGTCGCGAATGCATGTGCCTCAGGAACTGAAGTGAAATCATGGGGAATTGATAGGGATGTACAGCCTCAGAAACATGTGATTCAGAAAGCATGTTATAATTGTCAGGTAATGTCTTTCTGTTCCTGCCAACCCACAATTACCACAATCATATTTAAATTTATTTCATTGTATGTCTTTTGCTAGGCATGCATCTGATAATGTAACTACTATCCTGTGAAACCTTATCCAGCACCCACAAAAAGCTTGTGTTAGATAACATATAAAATGTTTTAGTTGTCAGTGCACCCTGTTGTATCAACTGCCTTGATTCTCCAGCTGCACAAACCTTTCCAGTGGTTGTCTCTGTCTTACAACTTCCCATATTATCTACCAGAGCAACTGGCTTATCATATGACCTGCCGACAACTTTTTATTATACCAGCCAGAAAAAATAAATGTGAAACTAGTTATGATTTAAGACTTGCCTCTCTGCTTACTTACAAGGGTCATGACTGAGACAAGGCAATATGTATTAAGTTAGTGGTAATCATTGTAGATTCATATAGAATGGCAGGAAACAACCAGTTGGCATGATTATGTACATAGACTAGTATAAGCTTTGCTTTATGTGGGCCTTTAGTTTTTAAATTATAGCAAGCAAAGATGCCTCAAAACCCTTGTTCTTTCTCTATTATGGCACAAAAGATTGCATCAATGAACTCATTCAACTATTTTTATTTTTCTGTAATTTTAGATTTAATAATAATGTTCTGTGACTGCTTTCAAAACTCATTACATTTTTATCCTAAATATTTACTGTAAGCAGGGCTTATTTATAATATAGGCAGTCTATTGATTGGGTAAAACAAGTGAAGTGGACCATGCAAATTTCTGCTGGTGTTATATTGGATAGATACTATTATTTTTATTTTATTACTATTTATATTTTTAATGAGATGGGATAGTCTTAAGTCAGTATCCAGCAACAAGCTTTCTTGTATTCTGTATATTTATTTCCCATGTTCTTTTAATATTCCATTTACATTTTATTTCAAGAAAAAGGTTATTATTAGATAGGAATGTGACTAATAATATAAGCATTTCTTAATCTCATTTCTTTTGCTTTCATACTACAGGTTGAAATTGAGAAGAAATGGATTAGACTTGAGGGAGAAGATCCCAATAAGGGTGGAGATTGTGACATACAGTAGAAGAGAGAAGTAATCTGGATTCTTTTTGAGATTGTGAGAAATATTTTAATGCAAGCAGGAAAATTTAAATACAATAAAGCAATGGATTTCAGTACATAATTTTCAAATTGTCATGTAAAAAGTTTAGGTACATAATTGTCAATTGCTTTCTAAACATTTAATATATTAACTATAACATTATAAAGGTAAATACTATATGTTGATTCTGTTTCAGAGTTTGTGGGGAAACAAACTGAACACAGTTATAATTTGCAACTCCCTAAGGCAGACTTTATGTTTTCCTGAGGTAATACAGCTATTCATTGCAATTGTCATGTAATTGCTGGGACTGCAGTAAATTCTATTGGTATTTTTATATAATTCTAAACAACCTTTTGCCATTCAACCCAAAGGACATACTATGTTGAAAACGGCCATATTTTATATAACTTCAAAGTCAGTTGATGGCAAAACTTTTTTATGTTAGCATCCAAATGTTTTAACTTTTGGTGTTGTCTAGAATTATAAGACGTAGATAAAATCTGTCTGCATAATCCTGTTTATTCTTCCAACTTTCATTAAAAAGATGCAGGCCCAGCTATATTAATTGGTGGATTCAGTGATGAACTTAGAACTTTTAATGTAAATTGAAGCTTTTACATTGTAAGTACTTCAATATGTTCTTTTGCTACCCAAAAGTACATGTGGGGGAAATGATTTACTAGAATATAATATAGATATTTTTCAGGGTAGTGCGGTTGGAAAAAATAGAGAGCTAATCCGTTGCTTCCTTCCAAAGTTGTTAATATTGGGGAAGCACTGCAATAATTTGAACTGTCCCTTCCTTTGGGCTATTGGTGAAAATGGTTTTGCTTTGTAATATTTTGAATCTCCAACAAGAACGTATGTTAGATTGGGAAAAAAAGTCTTCATTTGTTCTTCATAAAAGCTGAAGAACAAGGTCTCTCATATGAAAAGCAAAATGTTATTTTGTTCTGCCAGATGAGCTAGAGTTTACTTAAGGAGTGTGGAGTGGATTGCACCTGATTCTAAGGGAAAACAGCTATACCTAATATGATCAGCTTACCCTTTGGGCTATTTTGAATTTATCTTTAAAATTTATTATTTAGATATACTTGGACATTTGGGAAAAGGACTCATCACTGTTTTCAATCTTGAGGTATATATACTGAATATTTGGGAAGCTAAGAAGTGTCAGTTTTAATTTATATTGCTTGCATTCTGATTAATTTTAACTGTTCCCACTTGTTATTTTTGTTCATGTAACTCTTTTTGGAATAAAACTATAACAGCACATTTCATTTCACATAACATGTTTGTTCTTGCTGCAGATGCTAAATATAGGGAATATTATTTAAAATTAAATTAAATTCAGTTAATCTGGGAAACCATATTTTATATTGTATTTCCAGTTCAATATGTCATGGAATTTAATATTAAGATGCTTACCGTAATAAATAAGTTTCAAATTTCACAAGACTCAAAAGGAGGAGGTGGATTTGAATTATCAAGTGAGCTGTTCATTGTGGATAACAGAATAGATAAAATCCCTAAACAGCAGAATATCAATTGTTGTAGGAACTGATTTAGTTCAATAGGTTTCATAGATATTCATGGGGTGAAGAAACAAGAAAAGTATGTGAAGGAGCATATGGTAAGGCAAAATTTATTAAAACTATGTAATCATCTAAAAACAAGGATATGTCTGATAATTTCACCATTAGCATTATTGTTAGATTTTTTTTATTCAAAGAACAAGTACAGTAAGAACGATTTAATCACATATGCTTATATGTTGTACTCAGACTTGAAAAACAGACTAAAGTCACAGTAAGAACTCTTCTGTAAAGATAAGCATTCACGATGGTTGATTGTTGGAAGAAAAAAAAAACTGATCTCAAGAAAGGATGGACTTTGAGAAAAAGGGCAGAATTTAGAATACTTTAACATAATCAAGTCAATCTATTAGGGGACATATTCTTATTGAAATATGACTTGGAGACAAAACAAATTAAAAATTGTATGATAAAGTGGATGCAAACTTCAAAGAAGTAATCACACTAGAATAATGGGCTTATGGGCAAAAAAATCAATACCATTTACTCTATAATTTGGAGGAAAATTGGTATGGTGTACAACAAAGAAGGAACATTTTATCTACGCATTTAGTCATGCTAATTCAAAAGTATTGGAAGGAAATGCACCAAAATATTCAGATATTTTGTGTGTGTGTGTGTGTGTGTGTATACATACACACTTTTCTGAGACCTCATAGTCACTTTGATCCTCAGAGAAGGATAAAAGAAAACTTAGTCAGTGAGATTAGCTCTGCCTCAACCATCTTATACTGTATACTTACACAGTATATAGAAACTTCTGGCTGAAATAATAAAATATTGATTCCAGATTTAAAGGTGCAATACATTCTAGGTCATTCAACAAGACAAGTTATTCTATGATACACTATTTGAGGAAACGTAAGTGGAAACCAAAGGTAAGGAAAAGGCCTTATCAGTTGTCCTGGGATTTCAAATGCTTCAAAAGCTTCTTCTCATGTATCTGTTCAGCTGTTAAATCTGTTTCCAGATCTCAAGAGAACAAAATCATTTTGGGATGAATCAACCAAGACATCAGCCTCAGGTCAAATCTTTCCATAGCTTTTTCCACAAAGGAGGTAAAAATATTTAACGATTCTAAATTATCCATGTGGGCGATGACTTACACTATAGATACCCAACAGATTCTGGAGTCAAATAATAAGTATATGTGTTCTCAGAGGTGCATAATAGATTATGTTCAAATTCCTCATTATTTTGTATCAACTCTCAGGCCTTGCTACTCACAGAAGAATGGTTTGATGCTGAAAGTCTTAACATTTGAACTATAGATCTGATGTGGTTTGGTACTTACTGAATATTTTTTATAGTTAAAGAATTACTGGAGAACAGTTCTACATGTGAAAAGGTAAAACTAGTATATACTACTGCAAGTTCTGTATGGAATTAGTCCATGCATCAACTTCCCTGAATAGGTGAAAATATCTGTGTGTTCCACAACTAATTACCACAGGAAATTACTCAGAATTTATTGTATGATGGCTCACTTCCAACACTCAGTCCTCCCTTTCAATCTTCCAGCTTCTTCAGGAAACCTAATGAGTTCCTCCTGAGCCTAATGGTGGGAAAGAATGGTCTCTGATATCATTGGTCTACAAATTTTGGGAAATTATCAACTTCCAAAATAAAATGTTAATTTTACATATTTTGATTAGATGAATTAGAAAGCAGGTGATAAAGGTGCTGGTGGGCTAAAATTTTCAAGATATTTCAAGATTTTTATACACAGGCAAGTATATCTGCCTGCAACGGAGGGAGGTGTCTAATGGTCACGATGCCTTGTAAATTCTGAAAAAGTACAGTAGAACAATGAAAATGGTACCACATAGAAGTATATAAATGTTTCTTTTTATCTCCCCAGGGATGATCCTGCTGCAGTTCACAAGAGAAAAGCCAAAAAAGTGTAGTTTAGATACTGAATAAAGCTGAATCTTTTTGTTTAATCTGATTTTAAGCTTGTCAGTTTTTCATGCAAAAACTGACTTTATAATGATTGGTGTGGCACTATTCTCATTGCTATATCACATTTTGCAATAAAATAAAATAATATGGAGCATAATCACATATCCCCCCTCGTAATTTTGAATTAGTTTGACCTGAAGCTGTATCTTGGAAACTGGAGCCAATTAATACTCAGGACTTAATTTTCCTTTATTGGTGACCCAATTCTGGTAAAATTAAACTACTTTCATTTCCGAGGTTTCTCCTTGTAGACCAGTGTATTTGGACAACTTCTTGATACAATAATCTCTAATTGGGAGAGACCATACCTTTGGTCAACCTAAATAAATAATAAAAT